TGAGAGTTTGTCTTTTGCTTTAAGAACTACTCCTTAATCAATTTTAGTCGACCTCACAGAATAATTCAAATGGACTCAATACAGTCGATTCGTTTGACGTATGTCTGGTAGCAAATAGTAAGAAATTTGGCCCTTTGTCCAAATATTGTGGGCATTCGAGACAATATACTTCAATCATAGTTTCAAAAGTCTGATTGTATCCCCTCCAGAGCACAGTGTTTGCAGATGATATGCCATTCTGCTCATTATTTCCTGGATAATGTTCAATGTGAAAAGAGCCTTGATTAGACTGTATTTCAATTGGTAGGCCATTGTGAGTCAAAAAAAAAACTGAGTCAATGTTTCTAATACTACCTCAGCTATAATTGTCTTAAAGTAATAGCTTTTGGAAAAGAGTTGGTCATATTCATAAGGATATTTTGTTTTGGGTGGTCCTACAAAATCCACTAACCCGCAACTGAATGTTTCTTCAAAATCAGGAATGGGTATTAAAGGTGCCAGTTCAACTATAAGTTGGTGGAGGGTGCGGATGTAGTGCCAGTCAAGCAGGCTGCTTTGTCCTGGCCGGTCTCAAGCTGCTTAAGTGTTTTTGGGGTTGCACTCATCCAGGCAAGTGGGGAGTATTCCCATACACTCCTGACTTGTGCCTTGTCGATGGTGGACGGCTTTGGGGAGTCAGGAGGGGAGTTACTTGCCGCAGTATTTATAGCTTCTGGCCTGCTCTTGTAGCCACTGTGTTTATGTGGTGAGTTCAGTTGAGCTTCTGGTCAATGATAACACCCAGGATGTTGATAGTGGAAATTTCAGTGATGGTAACACCATTGACTGTCAAGGGATGGTGGTCAGATTGTCTTCTATTGGTGATGATCATGCCTGGCATTTGTGTGGCGCGAATGTCACTTGCCACTTGTGAGACCAAGCCTGAATATTGTTCAGATCTTGTTGCATTTGAACATGGACTGCTTCAGTATCTGAGGAGTCACGAATGGTGTGAACATTGTGCAATCAGCGAACATCCCCACTTCTGACCTTATGATGGACGGAAAGTCATTGATGAAGCAGCTGAAGATGGTTGGGCCTAGGACACTACCCTGAAGAACTCCTGCAGAGATGTCCTGGAGCTAAGATGATTGATCTCCAACAAGCACAAACATCTTCCTATGTGACAGGTATGGCTCCAACCACCGTAGAGTTTGTCCCCTGATACCCATTGATTCCAGTTTTCCTAGGGCTCCTTGATGCCACACTTGGTTGAATGCAGCCTTGATATCAAGGGCTGTCACTCTCACCTCACCTCTGGAATTTAGCTCTTTTGTCCAGGTTTGAACCAAGGCTGTAATGAGGTCAGGAGCTGAGTGGCCCTGACAAAACTGAGCAGGTTATTTCTGAGCAGGTGCTGCTTGATAGCACTGTTGATGACACGTTCCATCACTTTACTGATGATTGAGTGTATACTGATGGGGTGGTAATTGGCCGGGTTGGATTTGTTTTGCTTTTTGTGTACAGGACATACTTGGGCAATTTTCCACATTTTTGGGTAGATACCCGTGTTGTAACTGTAATGAAACAGCTTTGCTGGGGGAGTGGCAAGTTCTGAAGCAGAAGTCTTCAGTACTATTGCTGGAATATTGTCAGGGCCCATGGCCTTTTTAGTATCCAGTGACTCCAACTGTTTCTTGATGTCACGTGGAGTGAATCGAACTGTCTGAAGATTGGTATCTGTAATGCTGGGGACCACTGGAGGAGGCTGAGATGGATCATCCACTCGCCACTTCTAGCTGAAAATTGTTGTGAATGCTTTGGCCTTATCTTTTGCACTGATGTGCTGTTCTCTTCCATCATTGAGGATGGGGATATTGGTGGAGCCTCC